GTGTGATAGAAGAGACACCGCGACCGCTTCGACGAGTCCTTCGGCCCCGAAAGGCTGTCTAGGCTCTCGTTTGGGTCCTCCGCATTTTTTTACAATTTTCTTATGTGTATTTTTATGAGTTGATTTTAACTATCGTCATCGCGTCTTTCATATGTATACAATTTTAATCGTGCATTCTTACTTAATATTTATAAGTAGATAAATGTGACTGCAGTTGTGGCATCTCTTTTGTTTTCTAACATGTGGTCCTATCTGGGTTTCCTGTGTCCGTCCTGTTTGTATTTGCTTACTGTACGGAATTAGTCTAGTCGGTTAGCAGTAGTTTTAGATCGAATTCGAAGTTTTTTGCTGTTTTCTATTTGCTAATTTTTGTTGCAGGCTAAAGTTTTTTTTTAATTTAGTGGATTTGTAAAAGTTTTTTAGGTGTTTGTTTGCTTGCGTAGTTGACATTGCTCACACCTTCTAAACAATTTTATGTTGGAACTTCTGGTTTTGCTGGCGGCTTTTTTTGGACGTGGTGGTCACTCGTACCGCAGAGGACACTATTTGTTTTATATTAGCTTTTAATTTTGTTGTCGACCTTCAGGTGTGTTTTGTTATTTGGCGTACTTTGTCGTCTTTAAATAATTTGTATTCTAATTGGCATAATTACATGTTTCTTTTGTTAGGCAACGGACTGTTAAGTGTACTTTGCTAGCTGCCTTAAAGTGCAGTTTGAGTCCTTAAAGTGCTTCATTTGTTAGGGTTGGAGCCTTTGGACGACAACGTAAATGTTAGGTGCCTTTTTGCGTTGTTCGTGTGTTGATAACGTTTGAAAGTCATCCCTGTCCCACGGACCGTAGGCTTTGGTGGCCTTTGATTATTTTACCTTGTGTTTGGTCCTTCTCGTTAACGACAAATAGCTTCTGGCCGTTTCAGAGTTGATTAAGTCCTTGAAATAGTTGTATGCGTGGACTACTTTTACTGCGTTCCCTCCAGTGTGAAGGAGATTGATGTTCATGTGCCATTTTTTGCGAAAATTTTTCGATCTGTTTTACCAGTCCTATCTTGGGAGTCAATCGCATTTGAAGACGGCCTCATCTATGACCATCACTATGTTTACTTTCGACGGGGTTTCATTCCAGTCCTCTTATAATTGTGTCTTCAATACCTCGTGCAAACATAAAATTGCAGAAGTTGTTCGCAAAGGTTGTGCGTTTGTTCTTTTAAAAATTTAACAAACTAGTGGTTACTTATGTGCAGATTTGACCTTTCGATTCTTTCCTATCAGGCGATGCGCTTCCTTGTCATTTACTGTCTGTACATAGAAGTCTTTGTCGCTCCTCCTTCCCGATTGGTCGAATGGATTTTTAACCAATAATAATAAACTCTCACGAATAATTTAAATCCTGAACGCCGATTGCCATCATTTCGACAATGTCGAATGTAGGTCAAGTAGAAGACTCTGTCAACTCGGAGACTTTTTGGTACTGCATTACTCAGTCGGCGTGGCCTGACGTTATCGACATTATTACTCTCATTTTGGAGATTTCGGGCCTCCTTCTCAACATCCTCGCGGCCATTCTTCTGCTGCGCGTTACCGAAGGCAATAAAGTGAGTATTGTCCTCCTTCGAACCATCTTCTTCAACAACATTGTTGATGCCATAATCAAGCTGTTAGGAGATGTCACGCCGGCACGGGTTGAATTCAGCATTGTGGAACTAAATTATGCCATCTGTGTGCTTTGGGATTCGCGATTCCTTTACTGGCTATTTAATAAATTTTCCATTGAAGCCTTCATCTTCTTCGCCATTGACAGAGCTCTCACTCTTGACGGCTCTCAATATGTTCGATTTGTGCCTATGGAATCACGTCTCACGCTCTACCAGGCCTCTATATACATCTACGGCCTGCTCATCACCATCCCACAATTCTTTTCTGTCAATTTGGAGAGAGGTGGATGTGCATGTGCTCCCACCACTGTGAACGTGCCCTTTCTTGCCATCATCTATGCCCATGTCTTCATTCGCTTCGCCCTTCTCGTTGTTCTGAACGGCGCAGTTGTACTGTACAGTGCATTTCGAGTGATTAGATGGGTGGAAAAGACACCTGTCAGGGAGCAGGTTGACGAACTCAACTTCCTCCACTTTAGCAATCCCTCGGAGGCAGAATTAAAGCGTCTGGAGCCTTGGCATAGCTGGAAGACGCCCTCCATGTCTATCCTTCCAATCGGTATATGCTTTATCATTACTTTCGGTTTTGATGCGACCTATCAATTTCTCAGTGGTGCCGGATTGACTACCTACGTGATTGGTGGAGCTCCGCAGAAGATGGGCACCCTCATGCTCCTTATATTCACCAATTTTGTGCCATTGACGTTGATGGTTGCATTACCTGTGTTACGTTTCTGGGTGGAAGATACGTTCGATGCGATGCTTGGACGGAAACACAAAAAGGAGACTGATATCTGACCACTTAACTTTTCATATCTGCGTGTCACTTCATTAAGTTTTAGAATTCATTTGTGGTAGAACTGCAGATTTTTTTGGTGTAAAGAATGAACGGATGTCGCGCGTCGTCTTGTGTCTCTTGGGTGAAGGCTTTCTGACGATTTTGGCTAACCTGTAGAGGAGATCATCTAAAAGGAGTTTCATCTATTTATTGTCGGCTAAGAGGTCTCGAGACTTTGGGTATCCTGTTTCATAGGTCTTTGAGTGTTCTAGCCTCACATCCCTTCACCTCAGCTTCGTGTTGATGGTGAGTTTGGGACTGCAAAGTATCGGTTTGATCTGAATATCTTTAAAGTTGCTAAACTTGGTAGGATCTTGATCCGCGGATTTGTTGAAGAGTTTCATCTACTACCTCTGGCTGGATGTCAATGCTCTGCATGGGGACGAGAGGTCTTGAGGCATGGCTGTTAGTTAATTCGAATGCCGAGTTTCTCCATGATTCTGTCGGTGGTGAAGGGAACGGGAGCGGGATTTTAATCAGAAACACTCACATCGAAACTGTATGGTGAAGTGGTGTTTGCTAAATTTGCAGGAGCTGCACATTCCTGGTGGCGACATGAACAACCTGATGCCATGCGTGCCCTCGCGAGTGAAACTTGTCGCTCACCTTTACTCTTAATTCTCCACCCGCAGTTGCCATTGTTTGGTAGGCTAAGTTAGGCGTTGTTAGAAAACTCAATGAGAATGCGTGCATTTTGGGGAATTCTGTGATCATTACCAGTCATGGCTGTTGCCATTACATAAAATAAATGGGCGGATTGATTGATGCAGTTGCTGCCTACTTTGGTGGCGTGGCTACTGTCACTGACGTGTTGGATGACGGATTGGTGTAAATGCAATCTTTCCCAAACGACCAACAGCTAGGCAAACAAGTGACGGTGCACGCAACCCACCAATTAGCCTTTATTCAAACTACGTAAAAACTGTGGAAACTAAACAAGGTCGTACTTCAAAAAATGACGTGAATTCACAACGTTGGAAAGCTCCCCGGTTCTTGCCTCATGAAAAAGGAGGTCGGAGTTGCCTCAAGTGATTGCATTTGTGGGAATAGCTTCTTCGGTTGTGTCTATCAATATCGGCGCCAGCAAAAAGCTATCAAAGACTCCTTTTTGTTCTCTGACCACACCCAGTGCTACTTTAAGTAGAGGGAACGACCGAGCCCTTTGTTTCACTCATAATATTGGCATCTCGAGTGGCTTTAAGTAAAGACATGCATCCTATAGGTTGAAGCAATTGTGGATCGAGTAAGGTTATAAATCTCGCCTACTTTTACCAATAATTTGACACATTTGACCTCTGACTTACATAATTATGTCGAACAAAATGGGAAATCGTTGATCCTCAGTACCTATTAATTGTCTGTTCCTAAGATACTTTGTTTGTGTTATCAACTGATGTCTGGTCGTGACTGGTAATCGTCGCGCCCTTGGACTAACTTTTGGTCTGAGCAAAAGCCAGATCCATTTTATATCCACCGAAAAAATGCATTCATTTTGACCAACTTAACACGTTCTTCCATCTTGTGGAAAGACTTGAGTCTACACAATTTTGATAGCAGTCAAAGTTAAGATGCGGAACTCCTACAGTTCACACATACTGTATTGTTTTGCCGAAACGGACAGGTGACTTTTCCGAATACCATAATTAATAGCTTAGCTAAATAACATGTTTTCTTGCTTTTAAAGCCTATTATTGCCATCGCAGACCTTTGAATCCATAAGCTATACCAAACTTACGCAATCTCTCGTCAGCATTCCAATTGCATTTCCTTTTTGCCCAAGGAATGTAAAATTCACCGACAAAACCCCTCCAAAAGATAAAAAGGACAAAAATTTTTAGTTTGAACATGCTATCTATTAGAACTGAGTCATATTCGCACAAAAGTCAGCTAAAAACAAGCCATTTATCTGTGTTAAAATGCTATATTCCAAAATTTTTTAAATAAACTAACAAACACATTTGTATGGAAAAAAACATGATTTGCCCGACGCAAAAAATAAGCTTTTTAAGGTGATTTCTCCGATTTGTGACGAATTTTCAGCATGTCGTGTTTGGTTACGTCGATATAGCTGACGTTTCAAACGTTGCCAATGACAATGAGCGGCAGTAGTATGTTTTTGATGTACAGGATGAATTACTTTGCAACTAAGCTATTTTTAATGTGCATATTTAGCCCCCTAATGTCTGATGAGACTGTTAAATATTTGTGGGCGAGGAAAAAGGCTAAAAATTTCTCTAGAATAAAGTGAAGTTTTGTACCTCATAACATCCAAACATATAACAGTAGAATAGAAGCCTGTGTAATCCGCAAAATTTTGTCCTTATATAAAGCAACATAGTAGTAACAAAAAAGGATTTTAGGTGCTAAAGCTTTTACAGAACGCATTGAGACCGTATTTTCAAACTTGTGGAAGCGTCCTCATAACTTTATTTCAAATTCCATATAGTTAGACATTAACCTAAAACCACATTACTTTGGAGATTATCACTGAGTTTAAACATAGTATTTTTGCATCGCTAGTTGTTTTTATTTGTTTAGAGCTGCTAAAGCCTGCAACGGCGAACCTTTCGCCTGCACAAATGCAAGAGATCTCAGAGGCTTTTTCGCTTTTCGACAATGACAAAGACAACCGCCTTTCTCCCTACGAATTTAAAGTAAGGTTTAATTTTGTTTTTTAAAACAAACATTTTCTTAGGTAGCACTTGTAGCTCTAGGCTTTGAACTAAAGCCAGACGAAATCAATGAACTTCTTCAATCTGCGGATGTGGTGGAAGATAATAAGATATGCTTCAGAGATTTCTTCACCATAGGTTAGACAGCATAACCTCTTAT